GCCACTTCCGGTTTTCTGGTGGTTTATTGGAGATAGGAGTCTCACAGTCTCTCCTGCCCTGGCTGGCTTTGAACCTCGATCCTCAGATCTCAGCCTCCTGAATAGCTAGGATTACAGGCGTGAGCCACCAGCACCCGGCTAGCCCTCAGCTTTTTTGAGGGAGTTTATTAGAGATAAGGGCCTCAAGGACTTTGTTTCCCAAGTTAGCTTTGAACCTCATTCCTTAGATCTCCGCCTCCTGAGAAGCTGGGATGACAGATGTGAGCCATCAGCACCTGGCATTGAGGGCATTTCTGTCAGTTATTACTAAGAGCCACAGTCACCTTCTGGTGGCTCTGGTGGCTCAGGGTGAGGATCCCTGCAGGGTGTCATGAGGTGACAGGAAAGGCTAGGAGCAGGGGTCATTTCTTTCCGCCTTGGTGACAGGCTCTGGTGGTCAAGACACCAGCTGGGGGTCAGATGTGCTTACTGCAGCAGCCCTGGGACTTGGCAGGACCACCTCCATCCTACAGGGGAGACTGAGGCCCAGGGTCCCACATTGCCCATGTCCCCCCAAAGCAGGGGTCCTAGAGTGGTGCTGCAGGGACTCTGTTGAACTTACACAGCCTTTCTGCTGCCCACACCCTCTGTGCAAGGTGGGGTGACCTGGGGCCCCGGATGCCAGTCTGTAGTGGCAGGGCCTGGCCTGGGGCGAGGTCCTTGCGCAGAGCCTGTGGCCAGGGGACCCTGTATCAGAGTGGGAGGAAGACAGGAGGGAGCCAGGACAGGGACAGCCCAGCAGGGTTCCTCTGAGCGTGGGTGCCAGGGCCGCTCCCTTGGCATCCTAATCCGGAAGATGGCAAGTAGGGGAGTGGCTGCCCGGGCCTGTTGGCCTTGCTAAAGACGGGTAAAGGTCCCGGGGTGGACCGCTGGTAATGAGTAACCAAGGCCCACAGAGTCAGGGCCTGGAGGAGCCCCGGGTCAAGGGCAGAGTCTTCCCCACTTGGGCTGGGGAGAGTGCCTGGACAGAGGCTGAGTGATTGCGCTCATGCCACAGGCCTGGGGTGTGCATGAGGGTCAGCTGGCGAGCCACCGAGGCAGGGCCGCACCTGCCACATTGGGCCCCCACAGAGCGTCCAGTGACAGGTGCTGCAGTTCCCAGGGGATACACCAGGCCCTGTCCTCTGGGCTGGTTGCAGGCTGTGGGAGGGGACCAAGGCAGGTGTGACCTTGGTTGGAGCAGGTAAGCCTGGGGCTCAGTCTCAGCCACTGGGCGCAGAGCACTGTGCAGGGATGGAGATGAAGGCTGAAGAGGTGTCCTTTCCTCTCGGGGTGCACACGAGTGGCCCAGGCCTCACTGCATGCTTTCTCATGTCCATTTAGATACAGAACACACTTTCTTGGAGAATGTGTATATATTGTTGTAAGTGTTTTTATTCTTTTTTTTCTTTTGTCGGTCGTGGGCCTGAACTCTGGGCCTGGGTTGCTGTCCCTTAGTTCTTCAGCTCAAGGCTAGCGCTCTACCACTTGAGCCACAGCACCACTTCCGGCTTTTTCTGCTTATGTGGTGCTGAGGAATTGAACCCAGGGACTCATGCATGCAAGGCAAGCACTCTACCACTGAGCCACCTTCCCAGCCCCTTTTTATTTTATTCTTTTTTTTTTTTTTTGGTCGGCCGTGGGGCTTGAACTCTGGGCCTGGGCGCTGTCCCTCAGCTCTCCAGCTCAAGGCGAGCACTCTACCACTTGAGCTACAGTGCCACTTCCGGTTTTCTGGTGGTTTATTGGAGATAGGAGTCTCACAGTCTCTCCTGCCCGGGCTGGCTTTGAACCTTGATCCTCAGATCTCAGCCTCCTGAGTAGCTAGGATTACAGGCGTGAGCCACCAGCGCCCGGCTTATTTTATTCTTAAAAAAAATTTTTTTTTGTCAGTCATGGGGCATGAACTCTGGGCCTGGGCACTGTCCCTCAGCTCTTCAGCTCAAGGTGAGCACTCTGCCACTTGAGCCACAGCGCCACTTCCGGTTTTCTGGTGGTTAATTGGAGATAAGAGTCTCACAGATGGTCCATTCCTTCCTGGGCTGGCTTTGAACTCTGATCCTAAGATCTCAGCCACCTGAGTAGCTAGGATTACAGGTGTGAGCCACCAATGCCCAGCTGTTTTTAGTTTTTAAACCATGGGGCATAGATGTGGGTGGGTGATGTGTGGCTGAGGGCACGTGGTTGGGAAGCGCAGTGCCACATGAGGACTGGTCCACAGCCTGATGGCCAGGTGTGCCCACGCCAAGGGCTGCCTGGGACACCGGGACGTGGTGAAGACCTGGCTCCTCTTGTCCTTCTCCAATCTCCTTGGCAGCTCTGCAAAACATAGTTGTTAGATAAATGCAGCCACCGAGCGTGGCAGGCACCGGCCTGAGTGGCTGAGAGGCTGTGGTGGTTTTAAGCTCCTGTGCAGCCCAGCTCTTCAGTAAATCACCGGGCACCAGAGGCTCACACCTGTAATCCCAGCTACTCAGGAGGCTGAGATCTGAGGATCGCAGTTCAAAGCCAGCTTAGGCAGGAAAGTCTGTGAGACTTTTTTTTTCTTTTCTTTTTTTGCCAGTCCTAGGGCTTGAACTCAAGGCCTGGGCACTGTTCCTGAGCTGCATTTGCTCAAGGCTAGCACTCCACCACAGCACCACTTCCAGCTTTTCCTGTGTTTGTGGTACTGAGGAATCAAACCCAGGACTTCATGCATTCAAGGCAAGCACTCTACCAATAAGCCACATTCCCAGCCCTTCCATGAGACTCTTATCTCCAGCTAACCACCACAGACCTGGAAGTGGTGCTGTGGCTCAAAGTGGTAGAGTGCTAGCCTTGAGCAGAAAAGCTTAGGGATAATTCCCAGGCCCTGAGTTCAAGGCCCACACCACCACCAACAACAACAAAAAAAAAAACATTCTTTTTTTTTCTTAATTTTTTTTATTGTGAAAATACTGTTCGGAGAGGTTACAATTACATGAGCAAGGTAATGAGTACATTTCTTTTTTTTTTCTTTTATTGTGAATATACTGTACCGAGGGGTTACAATTACATGGGCAAGATAATGAGTACAGGGCTGGGAAGTACAGGGCTCAGTGGTAGAGCACTTGCCTTGCTTGCGTGAGGCCCTGAGTTCAATTCCTCAGCACCACATAAGCAAAAAGAAAAAAGCCGGAAGTGGTACTGTGGCTCAAGTGGTAGAGCGCTAGCCTTGAGCTGAAGAGCTGAGGGACAGCGCCCAGGACTAGAGTTCAGGCCCCACAACCGGACAAAAAAAAAAAAAAGATAATGAGTACATTTCTTATCAAGCATTGAAGCCTCCTCCTTTGTTTCCCGAGAAAACATCATTCTGAGTGGAGTGCTGCATTGACCAAGGCCCTCAGTTCCTTTTTTTGTTTTGGTTTTTGGTCTGAGATCCAGAGTCAGTACCTGATGTTTTCACTCATTGGCTGGCGCTCTACCATCTGAGCCACATCTCCAACCAGCCCCCAGTTCCTTACTTGGTGGAGCTCAGAGTCCTACTTCAGCTCCTACCAAAGGGCAGAGGCAGCTGCTGACTGGCCTTTGACAAGGGCAGTTCATTCCCTTCTGCACCGATGGGGTCAGCGCTGATTTAGTCAGAGCCCCGGGGACTGGTGTGCCCGTCCTTGCGCAGCTCTGTGGGAGTGTTTCTCAGGGTGCTAGGGCAGAAACCCAGGCTGGGTGACAGGGTCCAGGTTGCGACATGGCCATGTGTGATGGCCCTGGGTCTGACTTGGGCGTCCCCAGATCCTAGGGCTGGTGCTGCTGACAGTTCCTGTGCCAGGAGCTGGTCACACCCTCCCGAGTATGACTCCTCCCCCTCTGCCAGGTGGTGAAGGTGAAGCCTCATGACAAAGATGCCAAGATGAAGTACCAGGAGTGCAGCAAGATCGTGAAGCAGAAGGCCTTTGAGCGGGCCATCGCGGGGGATGAGCACAGGCGCTCTGTTGTGGACTCACTGGACATCGAGAGCATGAGTGAGTCGGCCTGCACACCCCAGCCCTCCCTGCATCTAGGGGCAGGCAGTACCCAGAGAGGGGGGTCAGGTTCCAGCAAGTCCTAAAAAATGGGGTCTCACAGCCAGGCGCCAGTGGCTCACACCTGTAATCCCAGCTACTCAGGAAGCTGAGATCTGAGGATCGAGGTTCAAAGCTAGCCTGGGCAGGAAAGTCCTTGAGACTCTTATCTCCAGTTAACCACTAGGAAACTGGAAGTGATGCTGTGGCTCAAGTGGTAGAGCGCTCGCCTTGAGCTGAAGAGCTGAGGGACAGCGCCCAGGCCCAGAGTTCAAGCCCCACGACGGACAAAAAAAAAAAAAAGGAAACACAGAAATGGGGTCTTGCCCACAGCTGCTTTTGTTCCCTCCTTCTCCCCTTTCCTGCCCTTGGTGGTTCAGTGCTTTTCTTTTGTGGCATGCAGTGGTGCCCCTTCCCCTGTTCACATGAGGTGCCGCAGCCATTTCTACCTGTGGGTGATGTGGTGATGTCCCCCGGGACCGTCCTGCCCTGTCCCGCATGTCTAGGGTTCCCATACTAGAGCACAGGGAAGATGGGGCAGGGCTGAGTTGGTAGTCATTTGGGGGACTCCTCTCTAGAATTTAGAAGGGGGGTGGCAGAGGGAGGCCGCTGCTGGAGTGGACCATCTGGAAATAGATCTTAGAGTTGTGTACTCATCCTAGAACCCTGAACCTCAAGGCCCAGAGCAGTTGCCACAGTTCCACGGCCTCTGCTCCCACTCACTTCCTCAGCCCGTGTCCAGAGCCAGGTCCCCCATCCCTGGGAGCCAGGTAGCCCATGCTGCCCGCCATGTCCAAGCCCCCTGACGGGGTTCCCTTGTTCACCTGTCAGCCATCGAGGACGAGTACAGTGGGCCAAAGCTTGAGGACGGCAAAGTGACAATAACCTTCATGAAGGAGCTCATGCAGTGGTACAAGGACCAGAAGAAGCTGCACCGGAAGTGTGCCTACCAGGTGAGCCACGGGGACCCCGAGCACTGAGCAGAGCCAGAGGGGCGTTGTGTGATGACCACTACTTCCCGGAACGGGTGTCCCGTGCTGGACGCGTGCCTGCATCCAGGGCCACGGCAGTGTGGGGTGCAAAAGCCGTCCCATTCACAGTCTGCTCTGCCTTCAGATTCTGGTGCAGGTGAAAGAGGTCCTGTGTAAGCTGAGCACGCTGGTGGAGACCACGCTGAAAGAGGTGCGGCTGGCCAGGGCATTGGCATCTGGCGGTGGGTGGCTCCTGGGCCGGGGAGGAGCCAGTGCGCGCTGGAACTCACAGTCCCACCTGGTGTGGTCTGTCGTCCCCTCCCCGTCTGTCTCCCGCATGTCCCTCGGTCCTGCCTCATGCTCTCTGTCCACCTTGTCACCACTGTGTCCCGCTTTGTGTGTGTCTCACATGGATTTTCTTGGTCTGCCATGACCCCTCACCCCTCCCTTCTGCCCCCTCCCCACATCTCTCTCTGGGCCCCTCCCTCTCCGGTGGCCTCTTTTCTTCCAGACAGAGAAGATTACAGTGTGTGGGGACACGCACGGCCAGTTCTATGACCTCCTCAATATCTTCGAGCTCAACGGCTTGCCCTCCGAGACCAACCCCTATGTATCCTTCTCCAAGCTGCAGTTGGGCCTGGGTGTGGGGAGGAGGGGACAGGCTAGTCCCCTCACTGTGTCCCCGGGGCCAATGCCCTCAGCTCTCCCAGCCCCACGTTCCCCTCTGCTGCCAGGTCACACAGCACAGAGGCAGCTGCCACTAACTAGCTGCTCATCTAACCTGCTGCCTCGGTTTCCCCCTTTGTCACTTGGGCTAAGGTGGAGAGGAGTGGGCATGGCTGCAGCTGCATGGAGGAGCTGAGTGCAGGCCTGGCCACCGCCATGAGAATTTGACATTAGACTGGCTTCACCCCGGGTCAGGGGTAGGGACCAGGCCTGTGCTGGGTAGACGGCTCGGTGCCCGCTGTCCTGTGGTTCTGAGCCTGTTTGGAGGAAGGGCAGGCATTGGGCCTTCCCTGCTGTCCTGCAGACTGGTGGCCAGCCAGAGCCACAGCACAGGAGAGAGTGCTGTGAGCCCCGCCAGGTCCTTGTTCCTTGGGAGGTGCTGATGGGAGCCTTGAGGGGGGCCAGGAGGCCTGGGAGGAGCCGCCACGGCTGGGTTCTGGCTGGTCCTGCCGCCGCGTGGTCCTTAGCAGCACAGATATTTAATGGCGACTTCGTGGACCGTGGCTCCTTCTCCGTGGAGGTGATCCTCACCCTTTTTGGCTTCAAGCTCCTGTACCCAGATCACTTTCACCTACTTCGAGGTGAGCTGGGGGGAGTTGGGAATCCTCAGAAGGGCGCTTCCCTTTTCCTCTGAGTGGTGATTTATCTAGAAAACCAGGGTACTGGGTGAAGTGAGCCCAACCTGGGGGTGCCCAGGGCCGTCCTGTAAGGAAGCCCCTAGGGACAGGCTCACGGCCTGCCTCCCTCCCAGGGTCACTGTGCCCATGTGTCAGCCGGTGTCAGTGGAGGGTCTGGAGGAAGGGCACCTCTAAGCTCCCCCTCAGGGGCTGGCTGAAAGGAAGAGCACCCCCTCTCCCCCAAAGTTCTCTTAGTGAGCACCTGGGCAGGCCCTGCCCACACATGGGAGGGGCTCACTGGGGCCCCGCCCAATAGAGGAATCCCTGCAGACCAGAAGGACCCGTGCCCGTGCCCACGTGGGTGCTTCTTATGCACAGACTTCTCCGGAGGGTTCTGGGGGGTTATTTATTCTTAATGCCAGCCCCCCCAAGCAGTGAGGTGTGTAGAGCGTCTCATGAGGCCGTGCTCCCCGCTCTGTGTGCCACAGCCTTGTGGGTGGAGTGAGCACGCCTGACACCATGTTGGCATCCCAGGAGCCACTGTGTGTGCCATCCCCCAGGCTCCCGGGCAGATGTGGGCTCTTGGGGCCAGGTTTGAGGGAGAGGGGTGGAGCCTGTGGGGCTGAGGCAGCTGAGAAGATGGAGTGGTGGGCACTCGGCTGTCACCGTGTCCCCAGGTCTGTTTCTGAGTCAGGGAGACTGAGGAACCCAGGGCTGAACCTTCGGTCCCCCTGCTGTGCCCAGGCAATCACGAGACAGACAACATGAACCAGATCTACGGTTTCGAGGGCGAGGTGAAGGCCAAGTACACAGCCCAGATGTACGAGCTCTTCAGCGAGGTGTTCGAGTGGCTTCCGCTGGCTCAGTGCATCAACGGCAAAGTGCTGGTAAAGACATAGTGCTCCCCCACATCCCCATGACTGGCCACGGCAGGGGGCGCTGCCCTGCCCTCACCCAGCTGCCCCGCCCCCAGATCATGCACGGAGGCCTCTTCAGTGAGGACGGTGTCACTCTGGACGACATTAGGAAGATCGAGCGGAACCGGCAGCCTCCAGACTCAGGTGAGTGAGGTCTTGGGGCTCCCCCCTGGCCAGTGAGGCCATGAGGCCAGGGCCTGTCCAGGGCCCAGAAAGCAGACGGATGAGGACACACCCCTCTGTTCACCCTGGAGTTCTCCTCCAGTCCCTGGGCTGAGGCAACTGGGGACAGGCAGATGGCGGCACGTGGTGTGGAGTGGCCGTAGGAGTGGCGCTGGGTGGGCAGCTCGCTGGTCTTTGTTCCTAGGGCAGGGGGCGCCTCGGCTCTGAAAGCCTCAGTTCAGATCCAGGGCTGTGATGGTCCTGGGGAGGCCGGAGCAGCTCAGAACTAACTGCAAGGCTATGTCCTGAGCCCTGCCTCCCCTGGGCAGGAGTGTGCCAGAAGGTGGGGCCTGGCTGGGTGGGAGCCCTCCCTCCAGGGCCCTGATGCTCACTCCCCTCTCCCCAGGTCCCATGTGCGACCTGCTGTGGTCTGATCCCCAGCCTCAGGTGAGTCCGGAGCTTTGTGTGAGGTGGTAGGGTGGGGCCCCTAGTCACCCGGAGTCTCATGTTCCCCCCTTGCCCTCTAGAATGGGCGCTCGGTCAGCAAACGGGGCGTGAGCTGCCAGTTCGGGCCCGATGTCACCAAGGCCTTCCTGGAGGAGAACCAGCTGGAGTACATCATCCGCAGCCACGAGGTCAAGGCAGAGGGCTACGAGGTGGCCCACGGCGGCCGCTGCGTCACCGTCTTCTCTGCCCCCAACTACTGGTGCGTCCCCTGGGGGTTTGTTTCTTTGGGGCTCAGCATGGAGGTGGACCGTCCCCGTCACTGGATGGTGCAGGGGGAGCCAGGCAGCGAAGCCCCTCCACCACCCCCAGACCCCAGGCCTCACACCTCCCATTGGTGCCTGGAGATGCTTCTGGAAGGAAATCCTGTCATTCCTCTTCATTAGCAAGCTCTAATCTGCCGAAGAAGGCTGCCACGGGCACCCCCGGGTCACCTGCTTGTCCTGGTGGCCAGAGAGGTGGTGGGATCAGATCTGGCACCAGAGCCCACCCCGTCCTCCCCGCCCCCTCACCTGCCCGCCCCTCCCTGAGCGCTCTGCTCCCGCCCCTGCAGCGACCAGATGGGGAACAAAGCCTCCTACATTCACCTCCGGGGCTCCGACCTGCGGCCCCAGTTCCACCAGTTCACAGCAGTGGTGAGTCCAACTCCAGGCGGGTGGGGGAGCAGGCAACCCCGGTGGCCCCTCCTGACCCAGCCCCCTCTGCCTCCTCCAGCCTCACCCCAACGTCAAGCCCATGGCCTACGCCAACACGCTGCTGCAGCTGGGGATGATGTGAGGCAGGGGCGCCCCCTGGCCAGCACCCTGCAACCAGGACCTGAGCAGCCCCGCCCCCGGGCAGCGTTGGACCCCCTTTTACTTTGTAAAGTTTGTATTTATTCCTCTTTAGGTTGCAGAGGGGGTGGGCAGAGCAGAGCAGGGCTGGCCAGAGCGGCTGTCCCCTGCGCAGGCAGGAAGGGGGTGCCCGAGCTGGGGTGCAGAGGGGCACAGCCAGGCATTCTGGAGGAAGGCCGGCCTGGGGCGGGACCAAGAGGATTCCCCGCCCCTTCGTTTGCATGGCTCCTCCCCGCTAAAGCAATAGGGCCCTGCCATAGGAAGACCCTAGGAAGAGGGTCATCAGGGAGGCCTCGCCTGCACCCTGCCTCCTGGTAGCCCAAGGGTGGGGCCAGGCCGGGCCCACCCCTCCCCCAGCTGTTTTATGTCTGTAATTAAATATGTTAAAATAAAGTCATTATTGTAAGTCACCTGGTCTCAAGGCCCTGGCTGCTAGATTGGGTATGTGTTCCCTAGAGATTCAGGGGTGGGGGCTGTGCCCAGACCTGGGATGCAGAGGGCCCCCCATGAGAAGACCCCATGGGCCAGCGAGGCCAGTAGTGAAGTGACCCCCTGAAGACCCAGATCCTTCCCAAGCTGGGCCCACTTCATCCTGGGCACCATTCAGTGAAGCGCCTGCAGTCTCCCCCTTTTCCCCCCATTCATCAGAGTGGACATGGGCTGTGGGGGCTTCCTGTCCCTGGGGCTCTCCCCAGAGCAGCACAGAAGGACAGCTGAGCCCTTGAGCAAAACTGGGGTTCAGCCAGAGAAGCTGGCAGGGTGTGTGAAGTTCTCTGAAGCCCAGCACCTTGTTCAGCCACCCGGGGCCTCAAAGGCTGGGCCTCCACATGAGCAGCCTCCTATCTTCACCATCCATGCCTCCTAGAGGGCATGAGGAGAAGTCTGAGTCTCCTACTGACCCGGGTCAGGGTCAGGACCCATGGACTTCCAGGAAGGAATGAAGATGGGGACGTAAGGCTGCCTGCCTCCTCCCAGCCATGCAAGACAGGCATATCGGTCTCCTCATCCCCACCAGGGGGCGCCCCAGGACCGGGGCACTTCCGGCAGAGAAGCAAGCTGCCCAGACTCCTGTGCAGAGCTGGGATTTCATTCTAATCATGAACAGTAGCGGTGCAGTGCTTAAAGTGCACAGGCTGTTTCTGCACCTCTAGGTGCTCTTTTTTTTTTTTTCTGTCGGTCATGGGGCTTGAACTCTAGGCCTGGTCATCGTCCCTGAGCTCTTCAGCTCAAGATGAGCACTCTAACCACTTGAGCCACAGCGCTATTTCTGGTTTTCTGGTGGTTTATTGGAGATGAGTCTCACGTACTTTCCTGCCCGGGCTGGCTTTGAACTGTGATCCTCAGATCTCAGCCTCTGAGCAACTAGGATTAAAGGTGTGAGCCACTGGCTCTTGGCTGTCCCCCTCTATCTGCCTCTCCCAGGTCTGGGTCTGGTCCCCAGTTGTCCCCCTTCTGGCTCAGGAGAAGCCAGCTCAATCCCTACTGCCATGCATTCTCTTATTTTAGTCTTGTGGCAGGCAATGGCGGCCACCCAAAGAAGGGTGGTTTTCAGTCAAGAGAGAAGGGGATGGTCCTGCTGGGTGCAGTGGCTTCTGCCTGCAATCCTAGCCACTCAGGAGGCTGAGAGCTGAGTGAGGACCTCAGTTCAAAGCCAGCCTGGGCAGCAAAGTCCATAAAACTCTTCAATTGGCCACCAGAAAACTGGAAGTGGAGCTGCGGCTCAGAGTGGCAGAAAAGCTCCGAGTTCCAGCCCTATTACTTATCAAAAAAGAAAGAAAGTCTGGCGGCCACATCAGATGACTCCGAGTGACCAGTTCAGCTGTGAGCCCCAGGGGCATGAACGCATGGGCCCCCCTCTCCCCAACTCAGACTTCAGGCCACGCTTCCACCAGGTGTCACCAGAGGGCGCTCAGAGCTCTGATTTCTCCTAACATGCCCTAGGCCCTTGTCCATCTCAACTTAAATCTTCCTCCCTGGGCTTGGACCTGGGCTAGCCTGGGACTCTGCTTTAAAAATGAGTCACTTGCTAGGCACTAGTGGCTCGCACCTATAATCCTAGCTACTTAGGAGGCTAAGATCTGAGGATTGCAGTTCAAAGCCAGTCCGGTCAGAGAAGTCTGTGAGACTCATCTCCAATAAACCACCAGAAAACCAGAAGTGGTACTGTGGCTCAAGTGGTAGAGCACTAGCCTTGAGCTGAAGAGCTGAGGGACAGCGCCCAGGCCCAGGGTTCAGGCCCCACGACCGGACCAAAACAAAAAAGAAAGAAAAAGAGCTCAGGGACAGTAACCAGGTTCTGAGTTAAAGCCCCATGACTAACAAAAATACAAAGAAACGAAATGTACTCTTTACCTCACTCTGTACATCACATTTTGTGTATGTGTGCCAGTCCTGGGGCTTGAACTCAAGGCTTAGGCACTGTCCCTGAAGCTCTTTTGCACAAGGCTAGCACTCTACCACTTGAGCCACATCTCTATGCCTGGCTTCTTGGAGATAAGAGTCTTACGGACTTCCCTGACTGGACTGCATTTGAGCTGTGACCCTCAGATCTCATCCTCCTGAGTAATTAGGATTACAAGTGTGAAACACTGGTGCTCAGCACATTCTACCTCTCGGGCCATGCCTCCAATCCTGCTTTTTGTTGGTTAATTGGAGATGGAGTTGCACAAACTTTTCTGTCAGGGCTGACCTTGAACTAGGATCCTCTAGTTCTCAGCCCCACGAGTAGCTAGGATTACAGGTGCCTGACTGTAGCATCTCACAACCCTGGGGATGGGGAGAGAGGAGACAGAGTGACAGCATAAACACAGGCTGCTGACCATTGAGAGCAAGGCAAATCAGAAGCCAAGAAATCACCTTGTAAATGTTTTTATTTGCAGGTTAGTTTGAGCTCTCTTCAAATTCAAGAGGGCAGTCCACATGGGTATACAGGCACAAAAGAGATCCCCAGAAAAAAAGAACAATAAAAAGAGAATGGCCCCCTGCTCTGCCAAGCACTGCAACAATTAACAGTTTGCACCTGAGAGTTAAAAGCCCAGGGATGTAACCCCTGCTGTTTCTTTTTGTGTCAGCTCTGGGGCTTGAACTCACTATCTGGACGTGGTATTTTAGATCTTTCTCTCAAGGCTAGTGCTCTACCATGGGTGCCACAGCTCCACTTCTGGTCTTTTGGTGATTAATTGGAGATTAAGAGTCTCTCAGACTTTCCTGCCCAGGCTGGCTTTGAACTATGATTCTCAGATCTCAGCCTCCTGAGTAGCTAGGATTACAGTCATGAGCTAATAGTGCCTGTCCCAAGCTCGCCCTTCCTTCCTTCCTGCCTTCCTTCCTTCTTTCTTTCCTTCCTTCCTAACTTCCATTTTCTGGGATGCTATTAAGTCAATATTTAAAAAAATAATAATGCACAAACAGAAAACAAAGTTTTATGTGGAGATGTGGCAGGTGCTGTCTGCCCCTCTGTCCCTCTCCATCTCTCAGAAGGAAACAGGGGAGGGGTGTCAGCTAGAGGGGAGCCCCTGGCCTCTCCTCACAGCTCTGCTTCTTGCTCTCCCTGCTCTGCCTCTGCACTGGCCTCGGCCCTCAGCACCCGGAGGCCCCTGGCCTCGCTGGCCCTGGGGACTCTCTTGGGCAGGGTTGGCAGGCGGGGAGTGTGCCAGAAGGCTCTTCGACGCTTGTGAAACCACGAAAAGCGTCCGGGGGTCTGGAACCTCACTGTCTTGGTCTGTTTCCGGGTTCTAGATCTGGCTGTCTCTGGAGCCAAGGAGCCAACCAAGCCTTCAGCTTCTTGGATAGCTTGGGCTCCAGCCTCTGCCCTCTGCCTAGCTGGTGCCTCTGCCCTCTGATTAGCTGGTGCCTCTAGCCTCTGGTCAGCTAGGGCTTCTGCCCCCTGATTAGCTATAGCCTCTGCCCTCTGATTAGCTGCCTCTTCCTCCTGGTCAGCTACAGCCTCTACTCTCTGATTATCCACAACCTCTGCCCTCTGATTATCCACAACCTCTGCCCTCTGGTCAGCTACAGCCTCTGCCCGCTGGACATCTGCAGCCTCTACTCTCCGGCCACCTATGGCCTCTTCTCTCTGATTATCATCAGCCTCTGCCCTCTGATCACCTATGGCTTCTTCTCTCTGATTATCTGCCGCCTGTGCCGGCTCTGGGGCTGGGCTGTCCACCTCTGGAGCCTCCCTCCTGCGGAGCCGGAAGGAGGCCCACTTGATCTTGGGCCTCCAACGTCGGCGGGCCGAGGGCTCCGCCCTTCTCCCATCACCCCCATTTCCCACGTGTCCCCCATTCCCCCCAGGCCTGGGGCCGCTGCCCTGAGAAGACCCCTCATCTCTCCCCGCAGCTGCAGGGGTGGAGGTCCGGGAAGCCCGAGCCTCCTCCACCCCCGATCTCGGGGCGCAGCCTTTCACCCTCCGCCTCAGTTTCCCCCAGGACACCTGGCTGACACACTGGCGCCAGCGGTCGGCCTTGGACACCTGGGGC